TTTTGATATGCTGAGTGAAATAAAATATACTATTAAAATTAAATACATTATTAAAATTAATTTATTTTACTTTAAAATATTGTAAGTCACATCCGAGTCTCTCATTTATGGTTTTATTAGACAATGTTACCCAAGAGATAGTCCAATTAAAAGAACTTGGTAGTCTTCTGGAGCATACATGTTAATATGGAGGGTATTTGGAATAAAAAATTAATGAATGGACAAATAAACAAGAATAGTACCTGGTGAGACAGGCTGTACCTAGGATAGCTGCTTAGCACTGTGGGTCAGATAGGACCTCTCTGATGATATAATATCTAAGCTCAGATATGAATATCCAGAAAGAGACAGATATTGAAAGATTAAAATAAAGAGAATGGTACACAGAAGGAACAGAGGATGCGGAAGCCCTGACATGGCAATGAACTTGTCATGTTCAGGAATCAAAGGATTACAGTGTGGATCCATCACGGTGGGTGAGAGAACAGTGGAGGTGTGAGGGTGAGGATACACGGGACAGATCCAGGAGTTCTGGGTAAGCTTGGGTTAGGAGTCTCAAAGCCATTAGAGGGTGTTGAGCAGAATAATGTCATGATACGATTTGTGTTTTTAAAAGATCATTTGTCTTCTGTTGAGAAAATTGACTCAGGGGGAGTGACAGCATCAGTAGTAAGAACAAGCTATTTGCAAGGTTAGTGTCAATAAGCAGGCTGACGAGAGCCATGGACAAGGGCAGTGGTCATAAGATGATTCCAGGTGTGGATTCAGTTGCTTTGTAGATACAATCAATTGGCTTGGCTTGGATTGGGTGGTCAGAGAAGAGGATTTCAAGGATCATTGTTAGATTTAGAGCTTTACAACTGAATGTTTAAGCTCCAAATAGACACAGATTATTGCAAAAGTGGCAGATACAGGAGGATGGAAGAATTAAGAGGTTGGTTCAGACAATGTTAGGTTTGGGGTATCTATGGGATTCCCATGGGGAGATGTCAAAAACTCAGTTGATTATATGAGGCTAGAGCACCAGGGGAAAGCTAAGGCTGATTACATAGCTCACAAGTTGTCACTACAATATTATAATCCATGAGACTGGATGATAGCACCTATGGAAAGACTAGAGGAAGGAGGGAGAGAGGTACAAGTCTTTGGACACCCTGAAAGTTAGAGATAAATTTAGAGGAACAAAAGCTAGAAATTTGAACTGAGAAAAATGACCAACTGAGCTATAAGGATAATCCAGAGGGTGTTGTATGTACTTTATCACATCAAGGCCTACGAAAAATGTGTTTTAAGAAAGAGAAAGGGTTCTAATGTGTTCCATGTCACAGAGATATCAGGATAAGACCTAAGAAAGACTTACTGGCGTCAGTGACATGAGGCCATAAGCATCCTTACTGAGAGCAGAGTCTGTGGAGTGCACAGGACCGAAGACAACTGGAGTGCGGTTAGGAGGAAAGGGGAGAGGTGGAGGTGGAGACATGGCCTCTGAAAGTCTGGCTGTGAATCCTCCTCACTGAAACCATCTTCTAGAGAAATAGGGTGGAAGCTGGAAAGGTATATGGGCTGAGGATGGATTCTTTGTTGAGGGATGGGATATGATCATGTTTATGTTGTAGAATGATCTAGTAGAAAGATAATCTTGGGGCTGTGCTGCAAGAAAAGAAAAGGTACAGTGCATGAGGGAAATTCATGGGAAGGTGAGAGGGCGAGGGATCCAGAGAAAACGTGGGGAGGGAGTAAATGAGAACTCCTGTATGGAATAAACAAGAACTCTCTACTCACTGTAACATCTTCAGATAATTGGAAGGTTTGGGTGAGAAAAGGCTAAAAAGTTCAGAACTAATTGTTACATTTTCTCATTGAAATATGAGGCAAGGGCATCTGCAGAGAGCAGGAATTGGAAAGTTAGTTACTTTGAAGAGAAAGCAGAACGAAAATAATTATTTCAAACATGGAAACTTTACTATGCTGAAGAAAAAAGAGTAAGCTAAAAAGGAAGTTCTGGGTGTCCAAGTGGTCATAAATACAGCTCCACCCGTTAACAATTGTGATATTGGACAAGTTACTTCCCCTCTCAAGGCCACGTTTTCTTTTGTAATACACAATGATAAAACTTATCCAAAAGCCAGAATGCTGACTTTGGAGATGATCAAATGTATTATACTATGACTGGCAACTTTTAGGGGCTCACCAAATGCCAGCTATCATAATCCATCCAAGTACCATCTGGGGCACACAGGTTCTCTCCCCCACCCTGCAACTAGGCTGGGACCATAATTCCACAAATTTGCCTCACTGACCTTCCCTCATCTGTCAATGCACAATCATCTTTTTCTGTTGCATCAAAATTATAAACCAATGATTTAGAGATTATTGAGCTCATCAAATCTTCCGGATGTCTTTTAGCATGCTGAGTGGGCAGAGAAAGCCTGCTGAGGAAGTATGTGGTGGGAGAAAGTTAAGAGTGCATTTCTGGTGGAAGCCATCAGCTTGAACACAAATTCAGGCTCTATGCCCTTCTAATTGGGGGCTATAAACAATGGGACCAGTTTAAGTCTTCACTCCCTCATCTGTACAATGGTTATACTAATGATATCTAACATGATTCCATATTTACAGTGTCCCAGAGTATGCTCAGTGCTTTACACTGATTCACACTTGCAATCCTCAAGAGCCATGTGAGAGGAGTTGAGATGAGGGTTAAAAGAAGAGCTGTGGGCCATACAAAATGACCATACAAAAAGTAGTAACTATAATTGTTATGAACATTGTTCTTTTTTCTTTATTGTGAAATAAATATTTTTAATTAGTTTCAGCTATATAACACAGTGCAATAGTTATACTTTTTATCCCTCAAAGTGAAAACCCACACCCCCAATCCACCGTCCCACTCCCCCCACCATATCATACATATCTATTACGATTCCCTTGACTCCACTCCCACACTACACTCCCTGTCCCATTACTATATATGTATATATTCAGTCATAGTTGACATACAATATTATACAACATCAGCTTCAGGTGTACAGTGCAGTTGTCAAGCCTCTACCCCATCCATGAAGTGGTCTACCTAGCAAGACATGTGACCATCTGACACCCTACAAAATATTTACAACATTATTAATTATATTCCCCGAACTGTCTTTCATATCCCTGTGGCAATATTGTAGTTACCTTTTTAATGAGCACTGTTCTTGACCTGAACTTGAACTTCTACAATGCATGGTCCAGGACTGAGTCCAAGGACACAGCATGGAACCTAATGAGCACCAGAGTTCCCATGTGTTAAAGACACTCAGTTCAGCCTAAAAATTTCCATGTGTTATCTCACCTGACCCTCACCTAAAAACCAGTGTTCACCACAAAGTCACCCCATTCTCTAGAGGAGAAAACTGAAGAGATGTCACTGAGTTCGCCCTCATATTGGGCAGGTGTCGGACATGAGGTTAGAATAAGAATTGACCTAACTGCTGTGCCCAGTGCTCTTACTGTAACAGTGACTTTGAACTGTGAATGACTTTCCCTCTTAGGGGGCATTTGACACTTGGTTGTCACAACTGAAGGGGGTTGCCTTTGGGATCTAGCAGGAGGCTAGGGGTGCAGTTAAACATCTTAGAATGTTCTGGACTGTTCCCCACAACAAAGAATTATCCAGCCTCAAATGTCAATGGCACCAAGGTTAGGAAACCCTGAACTACATTAAGCAATGTTGCACAGAAAACTCGATGAAAGTCACTGGTGAAAAGAGGAAGAAAAGAGAAAGGGAGAAAGACAACAAGAGAGGGAATGAAGCAAATTCTCATACCAGGGTATGCTCATCCCCAGATACCCCTGGGAGAACCCTTGAAAGGCAGCACTAGAGAGTGGCAAACACAGTGGCTCTGGAATTGTTTTCTTCTGGTTTTCAGACTGGCTGGGCATGGTGGTGAGCATACTGCTGAAACCCCTGGGCCAGGGTTTTCCTGGGTAAGACAGAGATGATAATGGATGTCGTGCCATATTATTACAAAAATTAAATGTGAATAGATGCTGAAAATTGCTTTTTCTCCTCAGAAGGCAGAATAGCCTAACCAAGATGATTTGCAAATTACCGTGGCCATAGAAAATAATGCTGGCTGATATGCAGATTTTTTTAATGGGATTCATGAATTTGCCTTTTGACAGCCACCCTGGATCATTCTGATAAAGTTCCCACCACAGTATAAAGAAATTTGTTGGTCAAGTGTCATGACCAAGTGGGTCACACAGACATTGGGTTGAATCTGGAGGCAATACTTACAGATGTGACCTGGTCTAGAGACAGACATGACATTTTTGTGCATTCTCATTCTTAAGAGCAAGGAAATCTATCCTGAGACCTCCCCAGAATATCTTCCTGAGTTTTAGTGTCCAGGATTTAGTCAAGTGCCCACTGCTAAAGAATCCCTTGTAAAGCAAAGGGGATTCCAGCTACTACTTGAGTCTATCAGGATTTGCCTCAAAAGATGGAGAGAAACACCTTCCCTGAGGGGTGAGTAATGCATCAAAATTGAGGTGTAGCTAAGCAGAGAAGAGTGCTGGTTAGGTGGACAACGAGCAATGTCTCTCATATTGAGTGTGAGGAAATGAATTGGATTTCAGATTCAGCTGAATTGAAGGCCATTCTCTATCATGTATTATATGATACATGAGACCTTTGGCAGGTTTCAGAATTGCTCTGAATAACAACTTATTTTTATGAAAGTAGAAATAATGAACATTGTAAAGTTGAATGTAGATCAAACTGGATCCCCATGAATATAACTAGATCCCCACTTAATGGAATACCATTTCCAATAAGAACCCCACAATTAAAACTAAGCATACTACTTTCATATTCTTTATATCACAGTCACTAAAGCTAGACATGGGCAAAAACCTTTGCATCCCAAGCAGAGAAGAGCTTCATATCAAACACAGACAATGAATAACAGAGGAGTGAATACAGACATAGGGCCCCCTTTGCTGACTGCCTCCCGCACAGAATCCACAGGATGTAACACATTACTACATATTACCAGTAACTGTTCAAGATCCTCTTTAACTATAAACTCAAGCCACTCTCTGAAACTTTAACTTGAAGATGAACCAAACGATAGATCAAGGGTTCTCACACAGGGCAGGGTCAGGAGCTGGGAGTCTGGGGTACCTGGGGCAGGAGGAGGTTGCCGAACCTGCCAGCACCTATGCACTGAGTCATCGGTGGAAGAAGATGTGACCCTACTGACTTCGAATCTAGTGCTTCCCTCACTGTTCACAGCTGGAGATGCCACCCACCAACTTTCTGTGGTCCACACACCTCAGCTCAGTACTCAGCTGGTAGACAGGAGACTTGTAACCCTCTTGCTTAAGTATTCAGCCTGATAGGTGGATTACATGTTCATAATCATGGGAATATGGAGACTTATCTTTTTCCAAAGGGACAGCCAAGAGAGTGCCAAATTTGCAGTATGACTGGCCACAAGTTTGGTGGAGTGGTATCCTGTTAGGAGTGGGAGCCACAGTGGAAAGTGATGTGGGCCTGAATACGGATGCGGTAAGGTGGCTTCACAGATGAGCAATGACCATTGTTGAAATGTTTTAGGTGCTGGCAAAATGGAAACCAACTTCTCCAGCCCTGTGAATGGACCTGAAGAGATGCACAATGAGTCTACTGGCTACACTGCTATAGAGATCTACTTATTAGTGGCATTTGGAATCATCTTTGTGCTTGGCACGCTGGGCAATGGGCTTGTGCTCTGGGTGACTGGATTCCAGATGGCACGCACTGTCACAACCTTGTGTTACCTGAACCTGGCCTTAGCTGACTTCTCTGTCATTGCCTCTCTGCCATTCCAAATGGTCTCAATTGCCATGAGACAATGGCCTTTTGGCTGGTTCCTATGCAAGATTATTTCTACAATGGTGGATATGAACCTGTTTGGAAGTAGTTTCCTTATTGCTTTCATTGCTCTGGACCGCTGTATTTGCATCCTGCATCCAGTCTGGGCCCAGAACTACCGCACTGTAAATAAGGCTAGAATAGTGATCATTGTACCCTGGATTCTTGCATTAGTCCTTACCTTGCCAACTTTAATCTTCACAACTACAGATAGAGTAAAAGAAAATACATACTGTGTTTTCAACACTGACTTCTGGGGCGACATCGATGAAATGAGATTGATGGAGATTATCTTCATCACATTTGCAACTATGGGGACCACCCAGTTTGTCATTGGCTTCATTATGCCGATGTCCATAATTGCTATCTGCTATGGGCTCATAGCTGCCAAGATCCGCAAAAAAGTCATGATAAATTCCAGCCGTCCCTTACGGGTCCTCACTGCTGTCATGGTTTCTTTCTTTCTTTGTTGGTTCCCCTTTCAACTGATTCTTTTTCTGTATAGAATCTGGATCAAAGAGATAGCACTTGAAGATAAGCACAGCATCATGATTCCGTTGAGGTTCCTGACGATCCCACTGGCATTCTTCAACAGTTGCCTCAACCCAATTCTCTATGTCTTTCTGGGCCAAGACTTCCGAAGGAGACTGATCCACTCCCTGCCTGCCAGTCTGGAAAGGGCTCTGATGGAGGAATCAGCTGAGACTATTGACATAACCAAATCTGCTTCACCTCCCACAGAGGCTGAGCTACAGGAAATGTCAGGGGCTGGAGGACATTATTGAGCTCTGTCTGCTCCTACCATGCTCCCAGTTCTAGCTTCATCTTTCCTTGGGTCATACTGAACCACTCATCTTGAAAAATAGTTTGGTGCCCCCTGATTTGGGGGATGAAATGAACATAGGGCACTATTGGCATCAATTTTGGTTTGAGGACCTCAGCCTATACCTTGGGGAGAATAGAGGTGGGAAGAGAACAAGGGAAGAGAAGAGACAGAGGATGGGGAATTTAGATGAGAGAGTATATTAAAGAGAAAACTTTGGTATTTCACCATAAAGTGTTTGCTGTATGGGTTTTCTTAACTATTTTGTTTTATCTGACCTCATAACTTTTCTATCCCTAGTTTAGCAGTGGTTTTGTTTAAATCATGAATGGCAGTTGAATTGTATCAAATGCATTTTCTGCATATATTTAGATGATCATATTGTATTTATCTTTTCATGCACATCATCATAAATTATATTTTGAATGCTAAACCACCCTTGTAATCCTAGAATTAACCACATTTGGCCATGCTGTATTTTATACATTTATAATTAATCTTACTAGATTGGTTAGAATTTCTGCATTTATGGTAATGTAAAGATGGATCTGTTCTTTTAATTTCCTCCCATGTTCTTGTCAGGTTGTACATCAAAGTTATAATGGCCTCCTAAAAAGACCTGGGAGGTGATTCCTCTGAGTCTATTCTCTGGTGTCAGGTCTTTTATAAATGTTTGAGAAGTTTACCAGTAAAGCTAGTTGGGTCTTTGGTTTTCTTTACAGGAAAGGTTTTAATAACAGGTTCAATTTATTTATAGTTATTGACCTAGTCAGATTTTCTATTTTCTCTTCTGTTAGTTTTAGTAAACTGTAACTATCAAGGAATTTAGCCATTTCATCCCAACTGTCAAATTTATTGGCATGAAACAGTATGATAACCATGTACTTGGTATGGTTTCCTTCAGGTAATGAAAGTGGAAGCTATCTGAGAGCTGGGATTTGGGCCTGTACTGATCACTAATGGATCCTAATACTCTATGTGTAAAAGAATGCCTGACGTGTGACAGGCACTCAATAAGTAATTACTGAATTAATGAATCAGTAAACATAACAGTATCACCCAGATGTCAAGCAGAACTTCTGATGTATAGTTAATTATCTCTCGCCCTTATATCATGAATTAGGCCATGTCAGTTAATTGTCACCCCCATGCCCACAATTTTCACAAATTCTCATGTAGTTTACACTTTTAAGAACAATTCAGATTTTGAGCGTTGGTTTCAAATAAAGTACTCTGGCTGTTAACTAACAACTTTATTTTTAAATAAATTCACCCACAATAGTACAGACTTTTCTTGCTTTGTGTAAATAATCATTCAAAAATTGGCCTTTACTGTGTAACATATATTCTTGGCTCATTGGCAAACAGCAATCCCCCCCAAAAAAAAGAAAAAAAAAAGAACTCCAAATACCTGTTAGGTAGCCTTATTACTTACATTAGGGTCAGTGACGCTGCACCCTCTACAGCTCAGATGGTGAACAACAGCTTGACCTGGGCTGGGCTGCCATGAGTTGCCAGCGATGGCTGACGTAGACTGTAGTGGGGCTACAGTGGGCTACCATAAGCTACCGTGTGTAGTTGGCAGCCAGCGTGAGCAGCCAGCAGCAGGTGTGAGCTGCCAGGAGTCGTTGTGAGTGGCTGTCCAGTGGCCAGCGACCAATCTGCCTCACCCAGGATGAGCGCAATGATAATACCAACGTGGGCCAGTGAAGCAACGTCCTCCACAACTAGACAAGAACAAAAGGACAGCAACTTGTCTGTTCCCCTTTCCCAATTCCCCAATTAAATATTTAAAATAATTTTAAAAACCCCACAAAAACCAGCTCTCGGTTTCATTGATCTTTTGTATTGTTTTTTTGGTCTCTATCTCATTTATTTCTGCTCTGGTCTTCATTATTTCCTTCCTTGTACTCCTTTGGGCTTGTTTTGCTGTTCTTTTTCCAGTTCCCTTAGGTGTAAAGATAGCCTGGTGATTTGAGGTTTGTGTTGTTTCTTTAGATAGGCCTACATTTCTACGAATTTCCCTCTTAGGACTGCTTTCATTTCATCCCATAGACTTTGGGTTGTTGTGTTTTCATTTTCATTTGTCTAGATACAGCTTTTGATTTGTTCCTTGATCTCATTTTTGACACACTCGCTATTTAGTAACATGTTACTCAGCCTCCATGTATTTCTGTGTTTTCCAGCTTTTTTCTTGTAGTTGATTTCTAATTTCATAGCACTGTGGTCAGTGAAGATACTTGATATGATTTCGATTTTCTTAAATTTATTGACACTTGTTTTGTGTCCTAAAATGTGGTCTATCTTGGAAAATGTTTCATGTGCACTTGCAAAGAATATATATTCTCTAGATTTGGGGTGAAATGCTCTGAAAATATCAATTAAATCCAGCTGGTCCAATGTGTATTTAAGGATGCTGTTTCCACATTGATTTTCTGTCTGGAGGATCTGTCCATTGTTGACAGTGGGGTGTTGAAGTCCCCTACTATGATAGTGTTACTGCTGATCTCTGTCTTTATGCCTGTCAATACCTGTTTTATATATTTAGGAGATCCTATGTTGGGTGCATAGATGTTTACTAGGGTTATGTCCTCTCGTTGAATCGATCCCTTTATTATTATGCAGTGCCCTTCTGTGTCTTTATTGTAGTCTTCATTTTAAAGTCTATTTTGTCTGAAATAAGTATTGCTTCTCCAGCTTTTTTCTCATTTCCATTTGCGTGAAATATCTTATTCTATCCCCTTTACTTTCAGTCTATGAGTGTCTTTTTTTTTAAAAGATTTTTATTGGGGAATTGGGGGGATGGGAACAGCGCTGGGGAACCGGGGGAAGGGGAACAGACAAGTTGCTGTCGTTTTGTTCTTTAGTCTAGTTGTGGAGGACATTGCTTCACTGGCCCAAGTTGGCACCATCATTGCGCTCTTCCCAGGCGAGGCAGATCAGTCGCCGGCTTCTGGACAGCTGCTCACGCTGGCAGCTGGCTACACATGGTAGCCCATGGCAACCCACTGCCACAGGGACTGCAACCTACGCCGTCGCTGATGACTTACAGCAGCCCAGCTCCACGTTGAGCTGTTGTTCAGCATCTTAGCTGTAGAGGGCAGTGTCAATGGCCCTCATATGTGGGATCCGAACTGGGGCACTCTGGCAGCCCAAACCAGCTCTTAACCATCACGCCACTCGGCCGGCCCTATGTGTGTCTTTTGATCTGAGATGAGTCTCTTGTAAACAGCTTATACATGGGTCCTGTTTTCTTATCCACTCAGCCACTCTACATCTTTTGATTGGAGCATTTAGCTCATTCACATTTAAAGTGATTATTGATAGCTGCACATTTATTGCCATTTTGTTATTCGTATTTCTGGTCTTCCTTGGTTAGCTTGTTTTCCCCTTCCTTCTGCTTAAAGAAGCCCTTTCAACATTTCCTGCAGTGCTGGCTTGGTGGTAATGAATTCCTTAAGCTTATTGTTTTCTGAGAAGCTGTTTATCTCTCCTTCAATTTTAAGCGATAGCCTTGCTGGGTAGAGCAATCTTGGTTGTAGGCCTTTGTTTTGCAACACTTTGAATATTTTCTGCCACTCCCTTCTGGCCTGCAGAGTTTCTGTAGAAAAGTCAGCTGTTAGTCTTATAGGAGGAGTTCCTTTGTATGTAACCTGCTGTCTTTGTCTTGCTGCTTTTAGGATTCTGTCTTTGTCTTTAACCTTTGCCATTTTAACTATGATGTGTCTTGGTGTGGACCTGTTTTGGTTTAGCATGTTTGGAACTCTCTGCACTTCCTGGGCTTGTATGTCAATTTCCTTCATCAGGATAGGGAAGTTCTCAGTCATTATTTCTTCAAATACTTTCTCGATCCCTTGATTCTTCTCTTCTCTTCCCATTCCTATGATGCAAATATTGTTGTGCTTGATGTTGTCCCACAGGTCTCTTAAACTATTTTCATTGTTTTTTATTCTTTTTTGTTGTTGTTGTTCCACCTGGGTAATTTCTGCCATTTTGTCTTCTAAATAGCTGATCCAATTATCTGCTCCATCTAATCTACTGGTGATTCATTCAAATGTGTTCTTCATTTTAGTTATTGTATTTTTTAGTTCTAGCTGGGTTTTTTATGATTTCTGTATCCTTCTTTATGTCCTCACTAAGTTCCTTAAACATTTTTATCATCGGTATTCTAAACTCTGCCTCTGAAAGGTTGGCTACCTCTGTTTCACTTAGTTCCATTTCTAGAGGTTTCTTCTGATCTTTTACTTGGGACATGTTTTTTTGTTTCTTCATTCTGGCTGTCACTCGTGATTGCTTTGATGTATTAGATAGATCACCTATGTCTCTCAGTCATTGCTGGTGGTCTTGTAGTATGTGTCCTTTATATTCAGATTGCACAGTCTCTGTATTCTCCTGTCCCATGTGTTCCAGATGTGTCGCTGATGTGGCACTAGCTTGGCAGTATGGAGTTCAAGTGAGTTATGCAACGTGACTGGTAGTTTTTAAGACGTTAATGCAGATTCAGGACTTACACCAATACCTGTATAGTGTCCCAAGGACAATACAGCCAGCCTCCACATCACACTCACAGATTCACAAAAGCTGCTCCCGAGTGGCTGTGGTGCTGGTTTCTGGTCACTGAACACCACAAAGATGACCCCAGGGCTCTGCAGACCACCTTCTGTTGTAAAAAAACCTTTTCCACAGTTTGTGGGGCTGGGGCTAGTCATGCCAACACCCCGATTGCCCCTGGCAATGAGCTATAGGTGGGCGAGGTGGTGTTACAGGTGCGTAAAAGCTGTGGTCAGTAGTTTCTACAAATTCAGTGTCGTCTCAGCTCCTGGACCAGTGCTAGGTCCACATGAGCCGCCCTCAGCCTCACCAACTTGAGCAAAGAGAGTCCTCACTAATTTCTACTGCCAGCCATCATGGAACTCATCTTCCAAGAGGGTCTCTTGCCCAACCAAAGAAGCCTCTCCACCACTGAGGTGTCCCTCACAGGGCTCACCCTCCCTCGTCTCCACCCCTCCTACCAGACTCAACGTGGCCTCTTCTTGAAATCCTTTGTTTAGAGGTTCTGTTCATCTAGTATTCAGGGGACTTCCAAGGTTAAATGTTGTATAAACTATTTGCAATTTTGGTGTGATCCTGGGTGACAGTTGGCACAGCGTCCATCTATTCCACCATCTTATCAGGAGTCCCGGTCTAACTTTCCCACACAGCCTTTTCAGCACTTCTAAATAGTAAACTTGGTTAGCTGTTTGTTTATTTAGTAACAAATTCATAATGAATAACTCCTCTGATATCAAAAAAGGTTAGCTACAGCTGAAACTAATTCTAAAAAATATGGATTTCATAATAAAAAATAATTTAATAAAAAAAGAGGAGGCCCTCTCGCTGCGTCGCCTGGTGCCTGCGCCACCCTCACCTCCTCACCTCTCCTCTCCTGGCTGAAGCCCGGGGGACCAGAGCGAGAAGCGGGGACTATGTTCCGACGCAAGCTGATAGTCCTCGACTACCACAACCCTACTGGCTTCAACTACAAAGATGAAACAGAATTTAGAAACTTTATTATTTGGCTTGAAGACCAGAAAATCAGACACTACAAGATTGAAGACAGAGGTAATTTAAGAAACATCCACAGCAGTGAGTGGTCCAAGTTCTTTGAAAAGTATCTCAGAGATGTTATTTGTCCTTTCAAGGTTCAAGATCGACAAGAAGCAATTGACTGGCTTCTTGGTTTAGCTGTTAGACTTGAATATGGAGATAATGCTGAAAAATACAAGGACTTGGCACTGATAATACAAAAAATGTTGAAAATGCAGCTAAAAATGCAGAGCCATTGATCAATTTGGATGTAAATAATCCTGATTTTAAGGCTGGTATAATGGCTTTGGCTAACCTTCTTCAGATTCAGCATCATGATGATTACCTGGTAATACTTAAGGCAATTCGCATTTTGGTCCAGGAGCGCCTGACACAGAATGCAGTTGCTAAAGCAAATCAAACAAAAGAGGGCTTGCCTGTTGCTTTAGACAAGCATATACTTGGTATTGACACAGGATATGCAGTTCTTAATGAAGCTGCTCAAATTCTGCGATTGCTGCATATAGAAGAGCTCAGAGAGCTACAGACAAAAATTAATGAAGCCATAGTCGCTGTTCAGGCAATTATTGCTGACCCAAAGACAGACCACAGACTGGGGAAAGTTGGAAGATGAACATTTTAGGAGTTCAGCCTCTCACCTACTTAGTACAATTGGGCACCATGTACACTCTGGCATGTGTTTGGAAATCAAATGTCATATTTTCGAGGGAAGAATCCCAGAAAATTGACTTATGTTCTAGAGATTTATCATCATTGCTTTTTCTTTAATAAAGTTTGGGAAAGTGGAAAAAAAAAAGGTTAGCAACATTGTTGCAACAAGTTTACTGACTTAATTGTCAGACCTCCTACACAGTCAGGGGAGCTTCCAAGTGGGTGAAAATATCCACACCTGGTGGATGATGCACCCTAACCCCAAGGGGACAGAAGCTCCTTCACTCGGGACACTTCCAGACCTCACCCTATGTGTCTCTTCATCTGGCTTTCATCTGTATTGTCATCTCCTTTAATAAACTGGTAAACATAAGTGTTTTCCTGAGATCTGTAAGCCCACTCTAGAAAATTAATCAAACTGTGGAGAAGATTGTTGGAATCTCTGATTTGTAGCCAGATGGTCAAAAGCACAGGTGACAACCTGGATTTGTGACTAGCGTCTGGAGTGTGTGTGTGGGTACCGGGGGATGGCGGGGGTGGGGGGAAAGAGTCTTGTGTGACTGAGCCATTAACCTGTGGGAAATGACACTATCTCCATGTAGATGGTGTCAGAATTGAATGGAATTGTAGGACACCCAGCTGGTGTGGGAGACATACTTGTGGGAAAAAAAACTTCACGTTTGGTAACGAGAAGTAATACTCTATGTAAAAGTAAACACATGTGGGAAGAAGCACACAGTAGGGAGGAACTGGGTTTTCCCCTACATAGTTGTTTTACATAACTATGTTTCACAGTGGATTATTATGTAGCAATAGTAGCTGGAACCCTTAACAGGAAATGTGGGGTTCATAAAGAGCCCTCCTTCTTCCTCATTCCCCAGAGGCATCCAGCCTCCAAGGTCAGTCTGCTAAGCCTGGACAACAACCTCTCCCCAAACCACACATCCTCTCCATTGCACTGTTCTTGACCTGAGTTGGTCTCCAACAGCTTCACCTTGATCTCTTGCAACATTCTCCACTCTAAGATCTCTGCCTCCAACTAGGAACATTCTCAAATCCATCCCTTTGCAGGACTCTAGGACTTTTTTTTCCCTGAAGCATATTCGTACACCTGACAAGTCCCTTTCCTGCTTAAATGGCTTTTCATTTTCCTAAGGCAAGTTCCACCTCCTTCTTGTAGCATTCACAATCCTCTAAGAGATGTTCACTGCCACCGCCTGCAGACTCATCACTTATTGTTCTCTACCTCACCATCCGTGCTCCAATAACCAAACGTAACTGGTTTCTTGGCCCTTTCCTATGCACTTTCACTCACCTCTGCCTGGAATTTAATTTTCTTTCCCCTTTTGCCTGAGTCACTAAGACTCAGCCTAGATGTTACCTCCTCCAGGAAGTGACCCTAGACCCTGACAGTCTGAATTAGCTGTTCCTTTAGGGGGGATCCCATGATGACCCAGGCATCGCTCTATCTCTACATATATCCCCACTCTACTGTGACTAAGCACTTCACTCTCTAACTTCTCCAGAGATCCACTTGGTCAGCTTCTCCAGGGTAGAGCCCATGACTGATAAATAATCTCTGTATCCCCAGGAGCCAGCAAGGGAGCACCTCTTTGGAGGCAATACAGATACAGTACCTACCACCTCTTGTTCTTTGACAAGTGAACACCATTTTATTCAGGTAGCAATATATCTTCATCCTAAGCCAATTGGATCAACCAAATTTAAAAAAATTGCCATGGATTGGTCAAGAGGTGGTTGTGTCACTCAGTTCTACCAGTGACAGGTAAGAATATGTCCTATAGAGACTCTAGAAAAACTTTCCTCCTTTATTAAATTTTCTGGCCATCCTCCTCCTTCTGGCTTGGTAGGTTATGTGGATGTGATGCCTGGAACAATGGCAGCCATTTTGTGATCATGTTCAAGGAGCCCCAGGAAGAAAACCAATAGGATGCTGGAGTGAAAGGGTTAAATTAAACTCAATTCATATTTAGACTCAGAACCTACCTCCTTTCAATGTTTTTTTTAATAATAAGTTTCTTCATGATTGAAGTGATTCACAGGTTTTCTATAACTCATTCCTGAATACATCCAATTATACAGTGATTGGGGAAAACCAAGCCAAACAATATTGTCTTTATCTCTTCCTCTTAGACTCTTGTTTTCTCGCTCTGCACTTTTCTCCAGGTTGTATCCATTGGACTTGAGAACAACTCTGTTAAACATTCTGATGGTTCTTAAAACCTCAGAATGTGCCCATCTCCTCAGATCAGTGACTCACAAATTATTTTTTTCAGGAGCTGACAGGGGATTAATCTTGGTGATGGTGTTGGGTCCTCCCTCATATATGTCTCTTATTTCTCTGTGTTTCTGGTTACTGCTTCTTTCAGCACCACTGTGATATAAAAATAAATATATTTGGTCTTTCTCCATGGTTCTTGGCAAACAGCTCCTAAAACCCTTACAATGTCCTAAGTGATAGAAATGTCTTTTTTTAATTCATAAATTTGATCACACCAGGGTTTTAGCTAATGAGGTGAGTTAGGGTGGGCTCCTAGATAGCCTCAGCATACTGTCTTGGTGTAGAATTAACCCCTGGTTATTCGCAGAATATAAAAGAATTTACAAGACTCTACAAGAGTATCCAGAAAAAAGATTAATTGAAGTAAAAAGAGAGAGTTCCTTTTGGAACTGGTCAAGTTTTGTCAGGGCAGTGTGAGAGGGAGAGCTGCAGAGACAGAGGGGTAAGAGAGAGACACTGGCAGGAGTTGTATCAGGGCAGAGTCAAATGAGGAACAACTGCACCGATGACAAGGAGTGCTGGGGTTTTATATTTTTCTAAGCAAAATGTAGGGTGCTTGTCAGCTTGCGGGGGGAGGGGGGGTTGCTGTTACAATTGTCTGCTCCTGGAAACTGCTCTGTTCCTACCTATGGTGAATGTAAGGTGCTTGTCAGTTTGTAGATGCAGTGCTAGCCAAGGGAGTCAGAGCCAAGTGGCTAATGTTTAAGCTCATTTCTGTTAGTCCACAACTTGCTCCTGTTAACTCTTTGCCTGTCCCATCCTGCCAGCTCACAAGTCCACTCCCGTTAACTCTTTATTTGTCGCGTGATATACCAAGTGATTAAAACTTTGCAACTTTCAGCTTCTCACACCAACCTCTGGGGAGGGGAGGTGGAAGAGAGCCTGGAGATTAAGTTCTTGAAAACTGAGATTTAATGAGCTTCTAGGATGGTGAACATATTCAGGTGTTGGGAGGGTGGTGCCTCCATAGAGTGCATGAAAGCTGTGTGCACACATCCCCAATCCCCCATACCTTACCCTATGGATCTTTGATTTGGCTGTTCTTTTTTTTTTTAATTTTTTTATTGGGGAATTGGGGGGATGGGAACAGCACTAAGGAATTGGGGGAAGGGGAACAGACAAGTTGCTGTCCTTTTGTTCTTCAGTCTAGTTGTGGAGGACGTTGCCTCACTGGCCCAAGTTGGCACCATCATTGCGCTCTTCCCGGGCGAGGCAGATCAGTCGCCGGCTTCTGGACATCCGCTCACTGCAGCTGCTGGCTACACATGGTAGCCCATGGCAACCCACTGCAGCAGGGGCTGCAGCCTATGCTGTTGCAGGCGACTCACGGCAGCCAGGTCGAGCTGTTTTTTTAGCATCTCAGCTGTGGAGGACAGTGTCACTGGCCCTCATATGTGGGATCCGAACCGGGGCCCTCTGGCGTCCCAAGCCAGTTCTTAACCATCGCGCCATTTGGCCGGCCCTGATTTGGCTGTTCTTGAGTTGTATCCTTTATAATAAACTGATAAGCAGATGTAAATTGCACTCCTGAGTTCTGTGAGCCAATCTAGCAAATTATCGAATCTGAGAAGAGGATCAGGCACAGCCCTGATTTATAGCTAGTCAGTCAGAAGTATCAGTGGCAACCTGAAATTCTCAATGGGCAACTCAAGTGGGAGCAGCCTTGTGGCACTGAGCTCTTTAACTTATGGCATACGATGTTGGCTCTGGATAGATAGTGTCAGAATTGAATTTAATTATAGAATGCCCAGTTCAGGTCCACAGAGAATTGGAGAATTTCTTGGTGTAGAACAAATCCACACAGTTGGTGTCAGAAGTGTTGTGTGGGTAGAGAAATGAGTTTTTTATTAACTGTCACCTCTGTTTTTATTGCTTGCCTCTATTACTTCTCACCTAAGTTACTGTTTCTTCCATTTTCCTGAATCACTGAAGGAGAAAGTCCCTGGACATACAGATGCCTTAATCCTTGATACTTAGAGGACTGAACTCCTGTCTCTCTCAGCAGGGGGAAGGTAAGGGGAACATTCAGACATTAAATTTCTAAGGACAGTATACTGACAACCTACCCAGGGTGCTTCTGCAAATTGACAGAAACTCTTGAGTTTCTGTCATCTGACTGAGTCAAGACCCATTGTCCCACCCCTTTGTCCTTCATAAAGCATCTGCTGATGCCCTTCCAGCCTGAGCTACTCCACTGGAAGCCAGGAACGGGACACAGGACAAGGATCTCAGCTGCTGGTAAGTTAGAAGTCTCACAACTTCAAAATGATTATTTGAACATCTACTGTGAGGCAGATACTGCCTAACCTCTAGAGCTGGCTGTTCAGTATAGACTACCCTGCCACATATGGTCATTGAACTCTGGCTAGTCTGATCCAAGATGTATTGTAGTATAAAATGCATTTAGTATATTCAAAGACTTAGTAAGAAAAAAGGATGCAAAATAGCTCATGAAAATTCTTAGAATGGTTATGTTCAGATATTTTTGACATGCTGAGTGAAATAAAATATACTATTAAAATTAAATACATTATTAAAATTAATTTATTTTACTTTAAAATATTGTAAGTCACATCCGAGGTTCTCATTTATGGTTCTATTAGACAATGTTACGCTAGAGATAGTCCAATTGAAAGAACTTGGTAGTCTTCTGGAGCATACATGTTAATATGGAGGGTATTTGGAAAAAAAATAAATTAATGGACGAATAAACAAAAATAGTACCTGGTGAGATAGGCTGTACTTGGGTTGGCTGCTTATCACTGTGGGTCAGAGATGACCTCTCTGATGATATAATATCTAAGCTCAGATAAGAATATTTAGAAAGAGCCAGATAGAAAGATTAAAAGAAAGAGAATGGTACGCAGAAAGGACAGAGGATGTAAAAGCCCTGACATGGCAATGAGCTTGTCATGTTCAGGAATCAAAGGAAAGCAGTGTGGATCCATCACAGTGGGTGAGAGGACAGTGGAGGTGTGAGGGTGAGGGATACACAGGGCAGATACAGGAGTGCTTGGTAAGCTTGGGTTAGGAGCCTTGAAGCCATTAGAGAGTGTGGAGCAGAATAATGTCATGATATGATTTGTGTTTTTAAAAGACCATTTGGCTTCTCTCAAGAAAATGGACTGAGGAAGAGTGACAGCATCAGTAGCAAGAACAAGCTATTTGCAAAGTTAGTGCCAATAAACAGCCTGAAGAGAGACATGGACAAAGGTAGTGGTCATAAGATGATTCCAGGTGTGGATTCAGTTGTTTTTTAGATAAAATCGATTGGCTCAGCTTGGATTGGGTGGTCAGGGAAGAGGATTTCAAGGATCAGTGTTAGATTTAGAGCTTTACAACTGAATGTTTAAGCTCCAAATAGACACAGATTATTGAAAAAGTGGCAGATATGGGAGAAAGGAAGAATTAAGAGGTTGGTTCAGGCAATGTTAGGTTTGAGGTACCTATGGAATTTCCATAGGGAGATGCCAAAAACTCTGTTGGTTATATCAGGCTAGAGCTCCAGAAAAAAGCTAAGGCAGATTACATAGATCACAAGTTATTACTGCAGTATTATAAGCCATAAGACTGGATATCACCTGTAGAAAAACTAAAGGATGGAAGGAGGTAGGTATAAGTCTTTGGACACCCCAAAACTTAGAGATAAATTTAGAGGAGCAAAAGCTAGAAATTTGAACTGGGGAAAGTGGCCAATTGAGCTATAAAGATAATCAAGAGGGTTTTGTGTGTACTTTATCATGTCAAGGCCTAAGAAAAATGTGTTTTAAGAAAGAGAAAGGGGTCTAATGGGTCTCATGTCACAGAAATATTAGGATAAGAACTGAGAAGGCCTCACTGGAGTCAGTGACATAAGGCCATATGCATCCTTACTGAGAGCACAGTCCATGGAGTGCAAAGGACCGAAGACAACTGGAGTGCGGTTAGGAGGAAAGGGGAGGGGAGGAGGTGGACACACGGCATCTTCAAGCCTGGCTGTGAATCCTCCTCACTGAAACCATCTTCTAGAGAAACAGGGTGGAAGCTGGAAAGGGATATGAGCTGAGGATGGATTCTTTGTTGAGGGAAGGGATACGATCATGTTTATGTTGTAGAATGATCTAAAAGAAAGATAATCTTGGGGCTGTGCTGCAAGAAAAGAAAAGGTACAGTGCATGAGGGAAATTCATGGGAAGGTGAGAGGGTGAGGAATCCAGAGCAAATGTGGGAGGGAGTAAATGAGAACTCTTGAATGGAATAAACAAGAACTCTCTACTCGCTGTAACACGTGCAGATAATTTGAAGGTTTGGGTGAGAAAAGGCTAAAACGTTCACAACTAATTGTTACCATTTTCTCATTGAAATAATGAGGCAGGGGTATCCGCTGAGAGCAGGGATTGGAAAGTTAGTTACTTTGAAGAGAAAGCAGAACTAAAATAATTATTTCAAACATGGAAACACTAATATGCTAAAGATAAGAGTACGCTAACAAGGAAGTGCTAAGCGTTCATGTAAAATCCGTGGTCATAAATCCAGCTGCACCGGTTAACAATTGTGATGTTAGACAAGTTACTTCCCCTCCCAAGGCCACATTTCCTCTTGTAATACACAATGATGATACTTATCCAAAAGCCAGGATGTTGACTTTGGAGATGATCAAATGTATTATACTATGACTGGCAACTTTTAAGGGCTCACCAAATGCCAGCCATCATAATCCATCCAAGTACCATCTGGGGCACACAGGTTCTCTCCCCCACCCTGCAACTATGCAGGGACCATATTTCACAAATTTGCCTCACTGACCTTCCCTCATCTGTCATTGCACAATCATCCTCCCTTGTTGCATCAAAATTATAAACGTACAATTTAGAGATTATTGAGCTCATCATATCTTCTGAATGTCTTTTAGCATGCTGAGTGGGTAGAGAAAGCCTGTTGAGGAAGTAGGTGGTGGGAGAAAGTTAAGAGTGCATTTCTGGTGGAAGCCATCAGCTTGAACACAAATTCAGGTTCTATCTCCTTCTAATTGGGGGCTTTAAACAATGGGACCAGTTTAAGTCTTCACTCCCTCATCTGTGCAATGGTTATACCAATGGTATCTAACATGATTCCATATTTACAGTGTCCCAGAGTATGCTCAGTGCTTTACACAGATTCACACTTCCTATAAAGAGCCATATGAGAGGAGTTGAGATGAGGGTTAATAGAAGAGCTCTGGGCTACACAAAGTGACCATACAGAAAGTAGTGACTATGATTGTTATGAGCATTGTTCTTGATCTGAACTTGAACTCATACACTGCATGGATCAGGACTGAGTCCCAGGACACAGCACAGAGATTAATGAGCACCAGAGTTCCCATGTCTCAGCCTAAAAGATTTCCATGTGTATTCTCATCTGACCCTCATCTAAAAGCCAGTGCTCACCACAAAGCCACCCCATTCTCTAGAAGAGGAAACCAAAGAGATGTCACGGAGTCCGCCCTCATGTTGGGCATAAGTCAGACATGAGATTAGAATAAGGATGACCTAACTGCTGTGCCCAGTGCTCATACTGTAACAGTGACTTTCAACTGTGGATGACTTTCCCCCTCAGGGAGCATTTGACACTTGGTTGTCGCAACTGGAGAGGGTTGCCTTTGGGGTCTAGCAGGAGGCCAGAGATGCAGTTAAACATCTTAGAATGTTCTGGACAGTCCCCCACAACAAAGAATTATCCAGCCTCAAATGTCAATGGCATCAAGGTTAGGAAACCCTGAACTACATTTAGCAATGTCACATAGAAGACTCAATGAAAGTGACTGGTGAAAAGAGAAAGGGAGAAAGACAAGAAAGGAGGGAATGAGGCAAATTGTCATATCAGGGTATGCTCATCCCCAGATAACCTTGGGGGAACCCTTGAAAGGCAACACTGGAGAGTGACAAACGTGGTGGCTCTGGAATTGTTTTGCTCTGGCTTTCAGAACGTACTGCCACCACAGACTGGCTGGGCATAGTGGTGAACACACTGCTGAAACCTCTGGGCCAGGGTTTCCCCTTGGTAAGAGAGGGATGATAGATAATGGATGTTCCATATTATTACAAGGGTTAACTGAATAGATGCTAAAAATTGCTATTTCTCCTCGGGAGGCAGAATAGCCTAGGCCGAAATATTATGTACATGTTCACGGCCATAGAAAATAACACTGGCTGTTAGGCAGATTTTTTTTTCTTTTTGCTGAGCCTTCCTGCCACCTGTGGGCAGCTTAGCAGCAGCTCAGCTTGGGCCAGGATGAAACCGGCGACCCTGTTGCTCAGAGCTCGCATTCTTGAGTTAGGCAGATTTTTTGAATGGGGTTCGTGAAAGTGCATTTTGACAGCCACATAGAATGTTCTGATAAAGTTCATACCACAGCATAAGAAAATTTGTTGGTCAAGTGTCATGACCAAGTGGGTCACACAGACATTGGGTTGAATCTGGAGGCAATACTTGTAGATGTGACCTGGTATAAAGGCATAAATGACACTTTTGTGCATTATCATTCTTAAGAGCAAGGAAATTTATCCCAGAACTTCCCCAGAATATCTTCCTGAGTGTTAGTGTCCAGGATTTAGTCAGGTGCCCACTGCTAAAAGGATCCCTTGCAAAGCAAAGGGGATTCCAGCTACTACAGAATCTATCAGGATTTGCCTCAAAAGATGAAGAGAAACACATTCCCTGAAAGAAGAGTAATGCAACAAATTGGGGTGTAGTTAGCAGAGAAGGATGCTGATTGAGTGGACAACCAGCAATATCTGTCATAGTTGAGTGTGAAGAAAAGAATTGGATTTCAGGTCCAGCTGAGTTGAAGGCCATTCTGTACCATGTGTTACATAAGTCACCTACGGCAGGTCTCAGAATTGCTTTGAATACCAACTTATTTTTATGAAAGTAGAAATAATGAACATTGTAAAGTTGTATGTAGATCAAACTGGATCCCCATGAATATAACTAGATCTCCACTTAATGTAATACCATCTCTAATAAGAATCCCCACAAATACAACTAAACCTGCTACTTTCATATTCTTTATGCCACAGACACTAAAGCTAGACAATGGGTGAAAACCTTTGCATCCCAAGCAGAGAAGAGCTCCATATCAATCACAGATGATGAATAACAGAGGGTTGAATGCAGAGACAGGGCCCCTTTGCTCTGCCTCCTGCACAGAATCCACAGGATGCAACACATTACTACATATTACCAGTAACCGTTCAAGATACTCTTTAACTATAAATTTAAACCACTCGCTGAAGCTTTAATTTGAAGATGAACCAAACAATAGGTCAAGTGTTCTCACACAGGAAGGGCCAGGAGCTGGGAGTCTGGGGCACCTGGGGCAGGAGAAGGTTGCAGAGCCTGCCAGCACCTATGCACTGAGTCATGGGTGGAAGAAGATGTGACCCTACTGACTCCGAGTCTAGTGCTTCCCTCACTGTTCACAGCTAAAGATGCCACCCATCAACTTTCTGTAGTCCACACACATCAGCTCAGTGTCGGCTGATGGACAGGAGCCTTGTAACCCTCTTGCTTAAGTAATCAGCTTGATATGTGGATTGCATGGTCACAATCATGGGAATATGGAGATCTATCCTTTCCCAAGGGGACAGCCAAGAGAGCACCAAATTTACAGTATGACTGACCACAGGTTTGGTAGAGTGGTATCCTGTTAGGAGTGGGGGCCATAGTGGATAGAAGGTGATGTGGGCCTGAATAGGGATGCTGTAGGTGGCTTCACAGCTGAGCAATGGCCATTGTTGAAATGTTGCAGGTGTGGGCAAGATGGAAACCAACTTCTCCAGCCCTGTGAACGCACCAGAAGAGATACTCGATGCATCTTCTGGCTACCATGCTATAGAGATCTACTTATTAGTGTCATTTGGAATCATCTTTGTGCTTGGCTTCCTGGGTAATGGGCTTGTGATCTGGGTGACTGGATTCCGGATGGCACGCACTGTCACAACCTTGTGTTACCTGAACCTGGCCTTAAATGACTTCTCCTTCACTGTCACTTTACCATTCCTCATGGTCTTAACTGCAATGAGAGGACAATGGCCTTTTGGCTGGTTCCTATGCAAGGTTGTTTTCACAATGGGCGACATGAACCTGTTTGGAAGTGTTTTCCTCATTGCTTTCATTGCTCTGGACCGCTGTATTTGCGTCCTGCATCCAGTCTGGGCCCAGAACCACCGCACTGTAACTCTGGCTAGAATAGTGATCATTGTACCCTGGATTCTTGCACTAGTCCTTACCTTTCCAGTTTTCTTCTTCGTAACTATAGAAAGTGATGAAAAAAATAATACATACTGCCTTTCGAACACTGAGTTCTTCAGTGACAATGATGAAATGAGTTGGAAGATGATCTCCACCACAGTTGCAGCGATGGGGATCATCCAGTTTGTCATTGGCTTCATTATGCCGATGTCCATCATTGCTATCTGCTATGGGCTCATAGCTGCCAAGATCCACAAAAAAGTCATGATAAATTCTAGCCGTCCCTTACAAGTCCTCACTGCTGTCATGGTTTCCTTCTTCCTTTGTTGGTTCCCCTTTCAACTGATTCTTTTTCTGGGTAGAATCTGGATTAAAGAGATAGCACTTGAAGGTAAGTACAGCATCATTTTGCTCCTGAGGGTCCTGACGACCCCCCTGGCATTCTTAAACAGTTGCCTCAACCCAATTCTCTATGTCTTCATGGGCCAAGACTTCCGAAGGAGACTGATCCACTCCCTGCCTGCCAGTCTGGAGAGGGCCCTGATTGAGGACTCAGCTGAGACCATTGACACAACAACCAAATCTGCTTCACCTCCCACAGTGGCCCAGCTACAGGAAATGTGAGGGGCGGGGAACATTTCTGAGCTGTCTGCTCCAACCCTGCTCCCAGTTACAGCTTCTTCTTTCCTTGGGTCATACCGAGCCACTCATCTTGAAAAATAATTTGGTGTCCCCTGATTTGGGTGATGAAATGGACATAGGGCACTATTGGTATCAATTTTTGTTTGAGGATCTCAGCCTATACCCTGGGGAGAGTAGAGGTGGGAAGAGAACAAGGGGAGAGAAGAGACAGAGTGATGGGGAATTTGTAAACTTAGATGAGAGAATACATTAAGGGGAAAACTTTAGTACTTCACCATTAAGTAAGATGTTTGCTGTAGATTGTTTTCAGCTATTTTGTATCTGACCACAGAAGTTTCCTATTTGTAGTTTACTAAGAGTTTTCTTCTTTTGTTAATCAAGAATGCTATTGGGTTGTATCAAATGAATTTTCTGCATATATTAAGGTGATCATATTATTATCATTTTGCTTACATCATCATAAATGATACTAATTTTTGAATGTTAAGTTAGCTTTGCAGTTTTAGAATAAACCACACTTGGTCCTGATGTATTTTACATATTTATAGTTAACATCACTAGATTGGTTTAGAATTTTTGCACTTATGTTTATGTAAAAATGGGTCTATTCTTTTACTTTCTTCTAATGTCTGTGCAAGGTATTAAATCAAACTTATAATGGCCTCCTAAAAAGACCTGGGAAGTGATTTCTCTGATTCTATTCTCTGATGCCATGTCTTTTATAAATGTTTAGAAAAGTTCACCAGTGAAGCTAGTTGGGTCTTGGGTTTTCTTTATGGCAGGGCTTTTAATAACAAGTTCAATATATTTAACACTTAATGGACTAGTCAGATTTTCTATTTCCTCTTTTGTCAGTTTTGGTAAACTGTGACTTTCAAGGAATTTAGCCATTTTATCCAAACTGTCAAATTAATTGATGTGAAACAGTATAACTGTACAGTACTTAGTATGGTTTCCAACACATAATGAGAATGTAAGCTATCTGAGGGAAAGAATTTTTGTCTGCATTGTTCACTAATGGATCCTGATACCCTATTTGTAAAATAATGCTTAGTATATGATAGACACTTAATAAATAGTTATTGATTTAATGAATCAATAAATAATAGTATCACCCAGGTGTCAAGTGAGAACCTTTAATGTCTTGTTAAAATTAACTCTGAATTGATTATGAATTGGGCAATATCCATTGTACTTTCACTCCTATTCCCAAAATCTTTACAAATTCCCCTGTGGTTTATATATTTAAGAACACCTCAGATTTTGAGTTTCTATTTTGAATAAAGTACTCTGACTAAATGTAGATGTATGTGTTTATTTTGAAATAAATCAATCTACAATAGTAATCAGCTTATTTTTTTCCTGAAACTAATCACTCATACACTGTCCCTTATTCTATAGCATACTTTCCTTACTCATTGGCAAAAGAAAGAACTCAAATAAATATTATAATGCAACACACACACACACACACACACACACACACACACACACACACACACACACACACAAATCTTAGTCCCTGGTTCTGGCACAGGGTTTCTAAACCCTTGCGTTTCCTGAGTGATAAAAGTGTTTTTTTGGGCCGGCCGAGTGGCGCATTGGTTAAGAGCTGGCTTGGGATGCCAGAGGTCCCTGGTTCGGATTGCACATATGGGGGCCTGTGACACTGCCCTCTACAGCTAAGATGCTGAACAACAGCTCAACCTGGAGCTGGGCTGCTGTGAGTCACCGGAGATGGCATAGGCTGCAACCAGTGCTGCAGTGGGTTGCTATGGGCTTCCATGTGTAGCCAGCAGCCAGCGTGAGCGGCCAGCAGCCGCAGTGAGCAGCCGTCCAGAAGCCAGTGACTGATTTGCCTCGCCCGGGAAGAGCACAATGATGGTGCCAAGTTGGGCCAGTGAAGCAACGTCCTCCACAACTAGACTATAGAACAAAATGACAGCAACTTATCTGTTCCTCTTCCCCCAATTCCCCAGCACTGTTCCAATTCCGCAATAAAAATCTTAAAAAAAAAGTGTGTTTTTTCATTCATAAGGAGCCCCTTTTGATCACATCAGAATTTATGCTAATGAGGTGAGTTAGAGTGGGCCTCTAGGTAGACTCAGTAGGCCAGGTGTTTGAAGCTTTGGAATTTTCATCCCCAACCACTGACCTCTGAGAATGGAGGTGGGAGGGGGCTAGACATTGAGCTCTATAAAACCTCTTTTATATCTTAAAACAAACACTTCCTTAATCCCCACTGTGCATACTTCTGTCTAGCCACTTATTCATTATTAATTTTATTTAATTTAGTAAGTAAATTAGTTTACTTAATATGTGATGTCATTGTGTGAGGCTCTAGAAATATATTAATGAGAAAAATATAAAATAAAATAAAGACATGGTGTACACTAATCAAGCAATAATAGTAATAGATAGCCAATTTAAAACTGTGATAAATGTTTTAAAGTAAAAACAGTGCTATAAAAAGAAGTACTTATCTTTTGGACCTGACATAGTCTGGAAATTCAGAGAAAGCTTTCCTAAAGGAACAATCAGCTTTGAAGCAATAAATGTGGAGGGATAGATTTCCAGGTGCAGGGAACAGCATGTGGAAATCCACAGCATAAGGGAATCCTACAGCTATGTAGCTGGGGTGGAGAAGGCAAAGGGGTATTGGAGCAAGATGCCTGGAGAAGTGAACAGTTCTTCACCCCAAACAAAGGACAATCATTGGATATTTTAAGCAAGAGAATGGCACAATTAGATTTAAGTCTGGAAACATTTACTCTAGCACTATACAGGGAATGAATTGGAAGATAAGAGTAGATGAAGGATGACCAGTTATTCCAAGAGTCCAGAAATTTAGGAAAGACATAAAGGTAGATTAATCTAAAATGGCGGTACTGAATAGGAACTAATTATGAATTCAGGATAAATTTATGAAGGAAAGCTGAGAGTGCTTGTTAAATAATTTGATGTAGGAGGGAAATATCAAGGTTGATGCCCATTTTTCTGGCATTCATAACTGAAAGGATGGAGTGGACTGACTGAGGTGAGAGATGGAAGCATGCACAGTGGGGGCTAAGAAAGTATTTGTTTTAAAATATAAACAATTAAGTGTGCTTGTGTTGATAAAAATAAAGCCAATAGAGAGGTAAAAATTAAAGATAGAAGAAAAAGTGAAGTTCCTGATAAAAGCATAGGTTTAAGGATTGGACTGTCATTGGAGAGGCAACACATTTTCTATTATAAACAGAAGAGAATGAAAGAAAGTTAGATTGCATATGTAAGAATTTCATAAGATTGTGGCAAGAATTTGCAAGATCACCTGCCTAGAATTATTTTTTAAATTTATTTTTATTTTTTAAAGATTTTTATTAAATATAGCTAACATACAATATTAGTTTTGGGGTACACCATAGTTATTCAACATTTATATACCTAAAGAGGTGACCACCATGTTAAGTCCAGCAACCATTGACACTGTACCATGTTATAACAATATTTTTTACTATATTTCTTATGTTGTACATTGCATCCTAATGACTTATTTGCTTTATACCTGGAAATTTGGACCTCTTATTCTCCTTCCTCTTCCCCTCTTTTTTAATTTTTCAATTACACTTGACATTTGGCATTATTTTATATTAATTTCGGAGGTATAGCATAGTGGTTAGACACATATAATTTAAGAAATGATCCTCCTGACTAGTCTGGTACCCACCTGGCACTATACCTACTTATTACCATATGATTGACTATATTTACTAAGCTGTACTTTACATCCTGATGATTACTTTGTAACAACTAATTTGAACTTCTTAATTCCTTACCCTTTTTCACCCACCAAACCCCCAATCTGGCAACCATCAAAATGTTCTCTGCATCTATGAGTTTATTTCTGTTTCGTTTATTTTGTTCTTTAGATTCCATATGTAAGCAAAATCACATAGCATCCATCTTTCTCTGCCTGACATACTCCACTCAGCACAATACCCTCCAGATCCATCCAAGCTGCCACAAATGGCAAAAACCCATTCCTTGCCATGGCCAACCAACATTTCATTGCATATATGTACCATGTCCTCTTTATCCATTCATCCATCAATGAACACCCAAGCTGCCTCCACATCTTGGCCATTGTAAACAATGCTGCAATGAACATATGAATTCACATGTCCCTTCAAAATAGTGTTTTGGTTTTTTAAAAATAAATACCCAGAAGTGGGATTACTGGGTCCTCTTTGTCTCTTGTTATAACCTTTGTTTTAAAGCCTATTTTGTCTGGTGTAAGTATTATTACTCCTGCTTTTTGTTGTTTTTGTTCCCATTCTCATGAAATACCTTTTTCCATCCCTTCACTGTCAGACGGTGTGTCTTTCAATATGAAGGGAATCTCTTGAGGGCAGCATACATAAGGGTCTTATTTTCTTATCAATTCTGCCCCCTTATCTTTTTCTTAACATAATTTTTTTTCAGATTTTTATTGGGGACTTGGGGAGTGGGAACAGCACTGGGGAATTGGGGAAGGGGAACAGACAAGTTGCTGTCGTTTTTGTTCTTCAGTCTAGTTGTGGAGGACGTTGCTTCACTGGCCCAACTTGGCACCATCATTGCGCTCTACCCCGGACGAGGCAGATCGGTCGCCGGCTTCTGGACAGCCACTCACGGCGGCTGCTGGCCGCTCATGCTGGCTGCTGCCTACACATGGTAGCCCATGGCAACCCACTGCAGCAGGGGCTGCAGCCCACGCCATCGCAGGTGACTCACAGCAGCCCAGCTCCAGGTTGAGCTGTTGTTCAGCATCTTAGCTGTAGAGGGCAGTGTCACTGGCCCTCATATGTGGGATCTGAACCAGGGCGCTCTTGGTGTCCCAAGCCAGCTCTTAACCATCATGCCACTCGGCCGGCCCAGTCCCCTTATCTTTTGATTGGAGCATTTAATCCATTTACATTTAAAGTAATTGTTGATAGATATGTGTTATTGCCATTTTATTATTCATCATTTTGATCTTCCCTTCTCCTCCTCCCCCTTCTCTTCCTCCTAAAAGAAGTCCTGTTAATATTTCTTGTAATACTGGTTTAGTGATAATGAACTCCTTTAGCTATTTCTTGTTGGCAAGATCTTTATCTCCCCTTCAATTTTCAATGACAGTTTTGCTGGGTATAGTAATTTTAGCTGTAGGTCCTTTCTTTTCATCACTTTGATATTTCATGCCATTTCCTTCTGGCCTGCAAAGTTTCTGTTGAGAAATCAGCCAATACTCTTATGGGAGCTCCCTTGTACGTCCCATACTGCTATTCCCTTGCTGCCTTTAAGATTCTTTCTTTGTCTTGAACCTTTGGCATTTTAATAATGATGTGAATTGGTGTGGGCCTCTTTCAGTTCATCTTGTTTGGGACTCTGCACTTCTTAAATGTGTGTCTATTTCATTCACCAAGTTAGGGAAGTTTTCTGTCATTATATATTCAACTAGTCTTTCAATTACTTGTTCTGTTCGCATCTCCTTGTGATGCAAATGCTGGTATGCTTGATGCTGTCCCAGAGGCCCTTTAAACTATCCTCATTTTTTGGGGGGGGGGATTTTTTTTTTCTTTTTGCTGTTCTGATTTGGTGTTTTCTTCTACCTTATCTTCTAAATAGCTGATTGGATCCTCTTCTTCTTCTACTCTGTTGCTTCCCCATAATCTATTCTTAATTTCAGTTACTGTATTCTTCATTTCTGACTGAATATTTTTTGTTTTCTATCTCCATTTTTATGTTTCCTATCTCTTTGTTGAAGTTCGTTCTGAGGTGATTAAGCATCTTAATAACCAGTGTTTTGAACTCTACGTCTGATAGATTGCTTGTCTCCATTTTGTTTCCCTCTTTTTCTGGAGCTTCATTCTGTTCTTTTATTTGTCTTGCCATTTTGGCATCCTCCCTGTGTTTGTTTCTACGTATTAGGTAGGGCTGTTATGTCTCCCAATCTTAGTAGAGCCTTATGTAGTAGGTGTCCTGTGGGGCCCAATGGTGTAGTCCCCCTGGTCACCTGAGCTGTATACTCCAGGTGTGTTCCTTGTGTGGGTTTTGTGTGCCCTCCTGTTGTAATTGAGTCTTAGTTGGTATTTGGACATCAATGGGAGGGATTGACCCTCTCGCTGATTGGTTGTGAGGACTAGCCATGACTACAGTGAAGGAGCTGTTGTGCAGAGGCTGACCCTATGGCTCAGAATTTACTTTAGCAGGGCTCTGTTGCCTGCCCAGTCTGCCGTTTTGGTGTGTCATCCTTGGAGGTAGCTGGATGATGACCCAA